AGCAATTAACCACTAGGAAGAATGTATGCAATGTGTTAATTATTGAAACTGTCCTACCAATTTGATTTGAAACTGTCTCATTGCTATTTGTTTATTGATAAAATTATGGAAAGAAAACAAATGTCAAGTAAGATATCTAAAAAAAGACAATAAAAATCTGATTTTTAGAAAAATTAGCATGTTTTGGTAAGAAAATAGGAGATACACTAAAAAAATTACATAAAAATTTTAAAACAGAAAACTACAATAACAAAACTAAAAAACTCAGAGGCCCTCAACAATAAGATGGAGAAGACAGAGGAGTCAGTAACTTGAATACAGAGCACTAAAAAGAGACCAAATCTGAACAGCAACAGTAAACATACTTTAAAAAAGAAATAGAGCCTCAGAGTTATGAGAGACTACAACAAAAGAACTAACATTTATGTTATTAAAGTTTCAGAAGAAAAGACAGGAAATGAGGTTGAAAAAAAAGGACTTAAGAAGTAATGAATGAGCTGGGCACAGTGGCGCATGCCTGTAATCCCAGCACAAGGGAGGCTGAGGTTGGAGGATGTCCACAAGTTCAAGGCCAGCCTGGGCTACAAAGTGAGTTCAAAACCACCCTGAACCAGATAGATCCTGTCTCAAAATACAAACAAACAAACAAACAAAAAAGAATACCTGTAATTTTCTCAAATTTAGTAAAATACAGAAACTTACAGATTTAAGAAACTGGACAAACCTGAAACAGAATATATCCAAAGAATTGACACCAAGACACATCATAATTAAATTCTTGAAAACTAAAGACCAAAACTGAAAGCAACAAGAGAGATGAAAACACCTTACCTATAGGGAAAACATGATGAATATTAGTGTAGTTCTCACCAAAAGCCATGGGCATCAGAAACAAGTGACATAAAATATTTCAAATACTTTAAGAAAAGAACTGTCAATCCTGAATGATGTATGTGGTGACAGTGTCCTTGCAAATGAGGAGGAAATCAAGACATTCTCAAAGGAAAACTAAGAGAATATATGTCCGCAGGCCCATTCTACAGCAAGGCACAAAGAACTCCTCAGACCAGAAGGAAAATTATTAAAGAACTGTGGGATCTCAGGAAGTAAGGGGAAAAAAATGAAGCTACAGCTTGTAATCCCAGCATTCTGAGGGGATGAGTCAGGGTAACAAGTTCAAACCCAGCCTGGGCAACTTATGACTTAGCAAGACCCTGCCCCAAAATAATTTTTTTTTCTCAGAAGTGGGAATTGAACTCAGGCCCTTGCACCTGCCAGGCAAGTGCTTTTTCTACTGAGCCATCTCCCAGGCCCAAAAACCTCTTTCAAAAAGGTGTGGATAGGGATATAGCTCAGTGGGAAGGCCTTGGGCTCTTTTTTTTTAAAGTAAAAATATGAGTACATAAAATAGACTTTCCTTCTTCTGTCCTTAAAATATAAAAGGCAAATTTTCCAGGCAATCTGGTGGATACCTATAATTCCAGATGCTCGTGAGTGTGCAATGTATCTCAAATTTGAGGCTAGCCTGGACAATTCTGGGAGCACTTGTTTAGCATGAACAAGGCCCTGGGTTGAATCATTTGTACTGAAAAAGGACAAATTTGGCCAAACTTCCAAATATAGGCTGAATGTTAGATGATAAGAGAGTATCGTTAATTTTCTTAAGTATCGTAGTTGTGGTTATGTGGAGGAATGTCTCTATGAGCAAGATATGCCTGCTGGAGTATTTAGAAGCGAAGTTCAATGAAACTTAAATTCAAATGGGGCAGAGGGAAAGAGTGGCTGTAGAGCTGAACAGAGAAAACACAACAGGACGTCACCTACCATTTGTTAACTTCATGAGGAAGACATCTTGGTGTTCATGGTACTATTCTTTCAACAGTTTTGTTTATTGCTAAATTTTCATTTTTAGAAAAGTTAGAAGATAGGTGTGTGATATAATGACATCTAAATACAGTAAAATGTTTGTGAGCTTAGAAAAAATGGGGTATACCGATGAATGTCCATTTTGTATCTGTGTATTCAAAATGGTTAGGATAGATATATAGTTGCATTCTCTTAATGAATAGAATGATTTGTTCTACTAACAAAAAAGGGGATACAGATGAATGTCCATTTTGTATGTGTGTATTCAAAATGGTTAGGATAGATATATAGTTGCATTCTCTTAATGAATAGAATGATTTGTTCTAATGGTGTTTGTAAATAGGATCACAAGTCCTCCTTGTACAGCAATTAACCACTAAGAAGAATATATGCAATGTATTATTTGTTGAAACTGTACTTTCGATTTGATTTGAAACTGTCTCATTGCTATCTGTTTATCAATAAAATTTTGGAAAAAAATGTTTGTGAGGATCCAGTTGGTAGATAATTGTATGTTCACAGGAAAATTCTTTTAATTTGTCTGTATGTTTGAAAATTTTCTTAGTAAAAGGTATGAAGAAAAAAAATCCCAACCTAGTGTCTCCTGCTAGCATTTCCAGTCTGTCTTACCATGATACACATTTTCTTTTACCTTCATCACCTATCCCCACACGTACTTATGATTATTTTTATGCGTCTGCTCACTAAAATGCAAGTTCCCCAAGGACAGAAAACTGTTCTTTTTTCAGTAGTATCCTCAAATCCTGGAACAGTGTCTGCTATGAATATTTTTTGAATTAAAAGTGAATTTCTATTGTTAGCACTTATGTCAAGGGCTGGTGCAGAGTGTGTACTCAATGACTGTTTGTTGACTTGAACTCAGATATAAGGTCTTAGAACTTAAATGGACCTCTTGTACTAGGCTGGTTCAGAGCATAGACTTTGGAGTCAAATGGCAAATAATTGCATCCTGATTCTGTCACCTTCAGCTGTGTTACCTTACCATGTTAACACTTCTGAGCCTTGATTTCTCTTTAGGGAAATTCTTGTTATAATATTACTACCTTGGTAGGGGTTTTGTTTGCATGAAGCACTTAAAATTTGGTAGAGACTCAGTAATTTCTTTTTTTTTTGGAACTGGGGGTTGAACTCAGGACCTTGAGCTTGTCAGACAAGCACTTACTCTACTGAGCTATCTCCCCAGCCCCAAGACTCAGTAATTGGTAACTGAAGGCAAAAGCAAAGGAACTAAAAGAGCCTTCCTGGCTTGTCAGCCTACTCCCAGCCCCGAAGTTGGAACCAGAGGATAAGGGGATATCCTAGGACAGTTATTCCCAAGACCTTCTCCAAACGCACAGAATGGTTTCTCCCACTTCAGGTCTCTTCCCTTCTCCTGTCCTGGACGCTTTTCTCTTAGCATCCTGAAGCTCCTTCCCCCATCATAAGTATCAGAACCATATAACTAGGGATAGGGGTGTGTGGGTCAGGGACAATGGCTTACAGTCTTCTGCTACTGCCTATTCTAGGGTTGGAGTTCCCTCACTGATGATGTAAGGAGGTTAAGTGTAAGGTCACAGCCATTTCAGGGGCTTAGAGGATGAGAGAACAATAGTCCTGAGGAGAAGACATTGACAGGAGAGCAGGCCTCACATGCTCTTCCTTCTTTTCTTGTAGGAGAGAATCTTCCTCACCCTGTTTCAACCTCCTTTGGTCGGTTCTGCTTCCTTGAATCATCACTTCTGGTGGCCTCAGCTCAGAACAAGCCCAGGAACCCATTGAGCATCTTTCTGCAACTCCCTCTCGGAAGTGGGGTGAGGTGGGGCTGGGGCTGGGGCTGGGCTGAAATCAGGGATCTAGGGATACGACATCGTGTGCTTGAGCTCTTCAGCGGTCCAAGCCCCTCACCCTATCCTAGGGTTGGCGTTGCCCCAGAGATCGGGAAGCTGGGGCTGAGCCTGGGGGCGCAGCTGCTTCTGTTCCTTTAAGGAGCCGCTGTTTAGCATTCCTGCCGCTGCCGCTGCCTGACTCTGCGCGCTGATTGGCTGGAATCAATTGAGAAGGGAGCCAGGGAGAGATGCTCTTGACTCCACTCAGATCCATCCTGGGGACCGGAGCAGAAGCGGTCCTCGCTGCACCCAGCCTCTGCCAGGGCTCCCACTTCTTCTTTGCCGCTGGGCCTCGGCCCAGGAGCCACGACGGGCGACACGGAGCCGCCAGTGCTAGAGGGGGAGCCATGGGTGAGGGGCAGCGTCGGGGCAGAGGCCCCGGGACGCCCGCCCGGCCCCAGGCCCCGCTCCGCCCGGGCGCCCCCGCGGGTGCCCCCCCCTTCCTGGTCCGAGCAGTGTGAGTGTGCCCGGGAGCCCGGCGGTGGCGGCGGCGGCGGCGGCGGCGGCGGCGGCGGCGGAGTGGAAACTGGCGTGGGCTGGGGGGTCCGAGCTGCGGGGGGCAGTGCCATGCACAAGCACCAGCACTGCTGTAAGTGCCCCGAGTGCTATGAGGTGACTCGCCTGGCCGCCCTGCGGCGCCTCGAGCCTCCGGGCTACGGCGACTGGGGGCAGGTGCCTGACCCCTATGGGCCAGGTGGGGGCAATGGGGCCAGCTCCGGTTATGGGGGCTACAGCTCTCAGACTCTGCCCTCGCAGGCAGGGGCCACCCCCACCCCTCGCACTAAGGCCAAGCTCATCCCTACCAGTCGGGACGTGGGGCCAGTGCCCCCTAAGCCAGTCCCAGGCAAGAGCACCCCCAAACTCAACGGCAGTGGCCCCAGCTGGTGGCCGGAGTGCACCTGTACCAACCGGGACTGGTATGAGCAGGTATGGACCAGCAGGAGGGGATGGTGGGGCAACCCAGGAGGATTGAGGAGTGGGAACCTAGAGGCCTGGGGTGCAGCAGGGATTGCTGGGGGTTCCATGGCTGTGGGTCCAGAACCTAGCATTGCAGTTGGGTAAAGAGAGGTGGGCTTCCTGTGTGTGTCTGTTTGGAGGTCTCCATTTGGAGGGGGTTGGGAGGAGCCCTGTGTGTCAGAGGGTGAAGGTCTGGTGGAGGGGCACATTTTCCTGTGGGGGGGGGGAGATTGGGTTTGTCTCAGTGGGGGGTGGTGGCAGTGTCTCTGTCTGGCTGGGGGGGGAGGTTCTGCGGGGGTTGTATGTGGTGTGTTTCTCCACAGGAGGAGAGGAGGGGGCATGGTGCTCTGCGTAGGGGGAGTGTGTGTGAGTGTGTGTGAGTGTGTGTGTGCACACGCGTTGGGATGTGTGGAGGAAGGCAATGGAGCTCCTATGCACCCATGAATCTATGTAGAGGAACCCATGTGCCCAGCTTGCCGAGATTCTTCCCTCCATGCCATGAGTCCCTCTCCGCCCCAGTCCCTTTGTGTGTCAGTGTGCACATGGGTGTGTGGGGATGTCTCTCTGAATGTGGAGGTGTCTCTAGATGAGACTGCAGGGATAACTATATTTGCTTTTCTCTGTGTGTGTGGTTACATGTATATGTGTGAGCATGTGGCTGTGTGTGTGTGTGTGTGTGTGTGTGTGTGTGTGTGTGTGTGTGGTATCCCTGGTGAGAGGTGCTTGACAGGCAAGGGAGTGGAGAGGGGGGAGCAAGAGACATGTCCCAAGCAAGGCTGAGATGCTGCTGAGAAGGACAGACTCTTTTGTCCAAGCAGCTCTGAAGTATGTGTGCCGGGGTCGAGGGGTGGTGAAGCAAGCTTCTTCCTCTAGAGCAGGCATGGTACCTGGAGCTAGGCAAGGAACAGCTGCCCCGGAGCAGGGACTGGCCCCGGTGGGGCATGTCCTCCTTGAGTACCTCCAGAGCAGAGCCCCTTGGCCCTGACTTGGCACAGCTCAGGAGCCCCTGGGTGCTGGGCACAACTCCGGTTTCCACTCTCAGCCTAAACTGCCAGCTTAGAAAATGGAAGGAGCATCTGTGGGAGAAGCAGCAAAATGGAGGCTGGGCAGGCAGAGCCAGGTCCCTGGCACGTGTGGTGGAGGGCCTGTCTGGTACTTGGCTCTGCAGCCCCCAGGGTGGGGAGAGAGGAGGAGGTTGCACTGCTGAGGGCAGGTGTGGACTGCCCCAAGCTGGCGATCATTCTGCCTACCTCTGTCCTCCTCTGGGGACAGGATGTGTTCTCACTGAGAAGCAAAGGTGGGACTTCTGAGGAGGGGCATTCTCAGTTTGGGCCTTCTGTTTGTCCATCCTTACTGCTTCCTGTGCTCTTTGCCTTGGCCCTTTGCTGTTTGCAGTGAGTCTCCTCCCCCATGCCCCTCTGTCTTTTGGCCCTCCCGTTGCAAGCACTCTCTCATACTTGTCTTGCCCAGCCGGGAGACAGGTGCCAATCTCAAGGCTAGGCCAGTGGCTAAGGTTTCCTTGCCAGGGTTTGCTTATCCCTGCGTTGCTCCTGGCCCTGGGGGCAAAGTCCCTGACTGGGGGGAGGGGACTGAACGATTGGTCTCTGGGAGCTGGGAGTCTACAGGTACCATTCAAACTGGGCTTGAGAACATGTGGGCACACATGGCACACCAGATACATACAAGAGTCGTATGGGTGTCCCTTTGCCTGTGTGTCTGTTGTACGGCACTTGAGGCAGCTGTGTTCGTTTTGGGTCTATGACAAGCCATTGATTCTTCCTGCTGGGATCAGGGACCAGGGTGAGGCTGCAGCTGGAGTCCTCCCACTGACTCCCAGGGATGCCACGCATGGAGTCTAGGGGCCAAACCCATAAATGGAGAAGGCATGACTAGCCAGCCCTCTCTCCCTCGCTTCTCTGTTTCTTAAAGCCATGGCTTTGTAGAGTGGAAATGGGAGGAGGGCGCAGAGCTGGGCGTGTGGAGCAGCCCACACCCCAGGCTTCCAGCTCTCCTCTTCTAAGGCCAGGGACCAGGAAAGGGACAGCATGGCCAGAGGAAGATGAGGGATGGAATGGGGATAGCTGGGGAAAGAGGCAAGAGGGCTCCTCCATGCTTGGAGATGAGAATGGAACCAGGGAGCAGGTGCTATTTGTCTGTCCACGTAAATGACCATAATCATGTCCTGTCTGAGAGGCTACCCCTGTGTTTCCACCCTTTCTGCTTTACTAAACCTGTCTTCAGCCTCTTTTGTTGCCTCTCTTCCCCGTGGCAACTGCATGTTGAAGAGTATGGGCTCTGATATGAATCTGTCCTCTGTGTTAACTTCTCCCTTGTTGGGAATCTTGTTGACCCTGCTCCTGTCCTGGCCCTGGCTTGATGTCTGACTCCTGATCAGATCCTACCCTAACATTTTTTCCCCTGGGACACATAAAGACTTCAGGATCAAAAGACCCTTTGGGAGAAAACAGGTTCAGCTTTTGGCTCCTTCTGTCCATTTGGGCTCCTGGAGTCACCGAAGGTGTAGATTGAGGATTCATGATGTACTCAAAAAGGGACAACTTTCCTTTGTTCCACGTGTCCTGATGGGGAATGGGATACGTGGCTAAAACATCAGGGGCTTGGCAACTTGATTTAATTCAAAGAGCACCTTGAGATCAGTGCTGTGCCACTAACTGCCTCTATGTTTTTAGGCATATCCCATACCTTCTCTGGGCTCACTGTCATCATTTGTTGTATGAGCAGGGTTCGATAAGATGGTGTCTGCTGTCCTCCCAGCTCTGACATAGTGGGAGTCTATGATCCCCAAGTCAGGGAGAACTGTGGTTCAGAAGGGGAAGGGTTCCCTGACCAGGCCTCTGGGTGCCCCACGATGCTGGGTGTGGTGTGGCATGCCCGCCATGCTCCATCTCTGCCATCCCCCTTAGGCCAGCTCTGCACCCCTCCTAGTGAACCCCGAGGTCCTGGAGTCCAGCCTCTCGGTGAGTGCACCACTGGCTGGCTCAGGCCCAGATGACTGATCTGGGCTAAATGAGCAGCTGGATTTGGCTTGCTGTGGTTGGAAGCAAGGGGAGGGGAGAGGCCCCTTGGGGTCAGTCTGTCCCCATCTGCAGCTTAGAGGTGCCCTGGGGTGTACTCGGGCTCTCTGTGGGCATGGGGAAGGGGCAGGCTGATTGGAAGCAGAGAGCTGGCGAGACAGGAGACACTGAGGGAAGTGTCTGTGTCTTTCCCTAGGTGAATGGCAGTGATGGCATGTTCAAATATGAGGAGATAGTACTGGAACGGGTGAGTCTGCCAGTGGGGAGGGGACGAAAGGAGAGAGGAGGTGGGAGCCAGGAGAAGGGAAGACCCTGAACAGTGATTTCAAGACTCCTGGGGGACCCTACATCCAGAGTATGGGGAAACAGCAGCCCTGGGAAGCTGCAGTGCTGCATCAATCAATCAACTCACTAACAAATATTAATTGACCTTGCTGGCTGAGGCCTGGGGACCTGAGGAAGGGATGGGTTTGCTCAGGCCTCTCTGCCAGGATGGTCAGCACAGGCAGAGAAGCTGCCAGGTTTTTGATGACTGAGTCCCAGTCTATCATGAGACCCAGAGAACCCACTGTGGGATGGAGAGGGAAATGGGGTGTCAAAAACCTGGTGTTGTGTTCTCAGAGTGTACAGATTGTGCCCTCCACCCCCTTCTGCAGGGGAACTCTGGCCTGGGCTTCAGTATTGCAGGTGGCATCGACAACCCGCATGTCCCTGATGACCCTGGCATTTTTATTACCAAGATCATCCCTGGTGGAGCAGCTGCCATGGATGGGAGGCTGGGGTAAGATGGCCTGGAAGCAAGGCTCTGAGGGACCAGGGTAGGATGGAGAGGAGGGGAGGAGGGCCAGGCTAGTGGAGTGATCCATCTACTAGATCTGAGCTGGGGATGGGAAAGGAGAGAGGAGGGAGCAAAAGGGAGGGGACAGGAGGTGGGGAATTGTGGAGGGGAGGTGGAGGAGTGGTGGCACAGTGGCATGCCCCTCTGGCCTCCCCCACAGGGTGAATGACTGTGTGCTTCGGGTGAATGAGGTGGACGTGTCGGAGGTGGTGCACAGCAGGGCCGTGGAGGCGCTGAAGGAGGCAGGGCCCGTGGTGCGGCTGGTGGTTCGGAGACGACAGCCTCCACCTGAGACTATCATGGAGGTCAACTTGCTCAAAGGGCCCAAAGGTGTGCCCCTCTAGGTTCCTGCGCTCTAGCCAGAGCCCCATGGGGAATGGTCTTACTCATAACATGACTCTCCTAGTTCTAGCCCTATCGCTTTCTTTCTTGACTTGAAGCTTCACCCTTCCTGACCTTGGAGTGGTATCCCAGGGTTTGGGATTTCTGGGTGGAAGCTCCACAGGGACTGGTGGGTTGACTGGGGGAGAGGAGTTGGCTTTGGGACTGACCAAACACTCTAACTTCTTGTGGCCCTTTTCCACTCTGTGCTCACTGTCCTACAGGCCTGGGTTTCAGCATTGCTGGAGGCATTGGCAACCAACACATCCCAGGAGACAATAGCATATACATCACGAAGATCATTGAAGGGGGAGCTGCTCAGAAGGATGGTCGCCTACAGATTGGGGACCGGTTGCTGGCGGTGAGACACCCTTCCTAGGGATGCCAAAATGGTAGATGGGTAGGAGGAACTCCAGCATGCTCTATCTCTCCATCCCTCTTCCCCTCCCTCCCTCCCTTCCCCCCTCCTTTTCTCTCTCTCTCTACTCCTGAATCTCACTGAGGGAATCTTGGGGAATTTCAGTAACATCATCTCAGTTGTGCTTACCCAGATACCAAAACTCTAATTTCATATGTGGCAGGGGCTCCCCCGGTCCTGCCCCTACTTTCTGGCTGTCTTGGATCCTCACAACACTGTACTTGGACCTCTGTTAGCACACTACTGACTCTCACTGAAAGGACACCCTTAAGGGTTCCAGGCAAAGCTTCCATTTCTTCAGAGCCCCAGCCTGAGGCCTCTCCTTTTCTAGGTGAACAACACAAATCTGCAGGATGTGAGGCACGAGGAAGCTGTGGCCTCACTGAAGAACACATCTGATATGGTCTATCTGAAGGTGGCCAAGCCAGGCAGCCTCCACCTCAACGACATGTATGCTCCCCCAGACTACGCCAGCAGTACGTACCCATTGATCCCTGGTTTGGGAAGAAGATGTGACTTGTTAAGAGAAAGCAAGTACAGGATAGTGCTCCAAAGAACCAAGTCCAGACCCCGCTATGTCCTGTGGAGCTGAATGACCTTGGACAGGTCCATTTTACTTGTTTTTAGTTCACTCTTTGGCAGAAAGGAGCTAATGTGCTGCCTTCCTCATAGGACTAGTGCAAGGATCAAATGAGATCATGGACAGGAAAGCTCTTGGAAAACTGTATTAAGATGCAGAGATGTGAGGGATTATTATTAGTCACACCTCTAGTCACACCTTTCTTTGTAGACTGCCTTGACTTCAGCTCTTTCTAAGAGTTACAGGAGTGAACCCAGGATTTAAAAAGGGACTGTGCAAGAGGAGAGGAGGGTGTACAGAATGCGGAGGGGTGCTGCTAGGAATCAGCACCCCTGCCTCGGTCTTTTTTGTGCCTCAGGTGTAGTGTGGGTGGGACAGCCCTTGGGGGGGTGAGCTCCCCTGCCAGGGATATCTTCCTGGACCATCTCTGAACTTTCTTCTCCCTTTCTTGATACCAGCTTTTACTGCCTTGGCTGACAACCACATAAGCCATAATTCCAGCCTGGGTTATCTTGGGCCAGTGGAGAGCAAGGTCAGCTACCCTGCTCCTCCTCAGGTCCCACCCACCCGATACTCTCCTATCCCGAGGCACATGCTGGCCGAGGAGGACTTCACCAGGTAAGACTCTTGCCCCATTCATCCAACTGAGGAGGGCGGAGGAAGGGAATCCAGTTTTGGAGGGTGGCAAACGTTGTAGTAAGGCCAAAACAGGATGAGGCTTTCATCACTCCCCTCTATGAGGTCTGGAAGCAGGAGGGGGCATTCTCAGTCCTTGGGGTGCATCTGTGGAGTTTCCCTGCCCCTGGCAGAGTGGCAGCCCCCTCTGCTACAGCCATTCCAAGTTATTGAAGGAAGGAGTTCAGCCTCTGGTCTTGACAGGACTCTAACAAGCCAGTTGGCCCAGTGGCCTCTTGGGAAATGCCCCGCCCCACCGTTGCGAAGGAGCCCATCGGTGGAACTGGTCGGGCAGGCCAGGATTCGGGGGACAGGTTTGCCAGGTGGGGCCTGGTAGGCTGCTGGGTAGGCTGCAGTGGAGCCGGAAGGGCAAGTGACGGGTTAGAGTCGGAGGAGCCATGGAGAGGGCTTGCAAGCTCTCAGGTTCTGGCCTGGCCCTGGGCTTGGGCTCAGCCTCTGCCTGGAGGAGGGCTTCGCAGAGGTGGGCCTGGCCTCTGCGTTCCCTGCGGCCCAGAGGGGATGCCAGGTAGGAGTGGAGGTACCAGACCATCCATGACTAGTGGGGGAGCTCCCTTGCTGCTGAGGCTGGGAACAAAGGAGGAGGAGTCTTGGTGGGAGAGTGTGGGGAGCCTGTTTGGATGGATGTGGGGCTGTTTGCTCATGCTTGGTGGTTCTGTGAGCACTTAGAGAAGGATCCCTCAGTTGTGGTTGGTTTTAGTGGGATTTTTCATATGCTTATCTCCTGCCTTGAGTTCAGCTCCAAGCACCTTTTAGAGACTCAGAATTTTTATCTCCTCCATCTCTATTTCCCCCCTCACCTAGCAGCCATGTGCCTAGTGGTAGCTGTTGACTATATGTTGTTGGGGTATCTCTGACCCCCTTGTCCTATCTTCACTCATAGTGGGTGGGTGGAATTTTGAGACTGCAGAGGAGCAGGTGAAAAATAAGTATGTTGTGCAACCAACCCAGAGTGAGCCCACTAACCCTGACAGGTTCCTCTTGTGGTTTAGGACCTGTCACACTCATTGATAGGTTAGGAGACTGGGGAAGGAAGGTCAGTGAGTGGGCTCTGGGCTTTTGTTTCTAGAGTTCAGGATAGGAGTGTGTTGACTTAGAGTAGTGGGCTGCCCATTATGAAGTTGACTAGGAGGCCTCAGGGAAAAGGAGGGAAGAGGAACTGAAACTTGGCATCTGATAGAAAACGGAGCCAAGCAGGTTTGAGGATAAGAAAGGAGGAACTGACTATCATATATAGGGAATGCAAGTCCTTACTCCCTATGGCAAGTATGGGTCTTTGTTCCAGGCTGGACCTCACAGGGGCAATAGTTCCCATATCCCTTTGTTCTGACATATCTCCTCTCATTTTCCATCAGAGAGCCCCGCAAGATCATCCTGCACAAAGGCTCTACAGGCCTGGGCTTCAACATCGTAGGAGGAGAGGATGGAGAAGGCATTTTTGTCTCCTTCATCCTGGCAGGAGGCCCAGCCGACCTGAGTGGGGAGCTGCGCAGGGGAGACCGGATCTTATCGGTGAGACAAAGGCGAGGTGGGAGGACGAGAGCTGTGCCAGTCTCAGAGGGAGGGGGGAAGACCTTGCTTCCTCCAAGGAATGCTTCTTTAGATGAGGAAAGAGCTAAGAACTGGAGAAAACATATGCTGTCTTTATAGATAGTGTCAGTGAGAGATAGGAAACTAGACATCCCTGAGGAAATGAATATTCCTTGAATTTTTTGGGAGGTACAGGAGATATAACCCAGGGATACTGTACCACTGAGCTACATTCTCACCTTTTTTTAATTTTGAGAGAGTGTCCAGCAATGATTTGAATTTGTGATCCTCCTACTTCAGCTGCTCAAGTGCTGGGATTATAGGCCTGCACCACTGCTCCCAGCTGTTTCTTGGATATTAACTCTGATTGGCATTTTCTTCCAGAAAGATAATTATTACAGTAAAGATGTCATATCATTTAGGTCTCTTTCTGGGGACAAGGATGGACTTTTGGGAAAGACATTAAATGGCTGAGAGATGGGCTACCCATTTCTCTCTGATTAGGATAGAGGACCCCCTTTCTTGCTTTTGGGGTGTCTTATAGCTTCTCTCTCTGGACAGGTGAATGGAGTGAACCTGAGGAATGCAACTCATGAGCAGGCTGCAGCTGCTCTGAAACGGGCTGGCCAGTCAGTCACCATTGTGGCCCAGTACAGACCTGAAGGTAGGTGAAAGAAAGGTGGGAAGAGATGCGGGGGGGGGCAAGATTAGGTTTGTATTAAGGGTTAGTTTTCCCTATCATGGCTAACAAAATCACATGAGCAGGTCCCTGCTGCTCTTAGTGCTGTAACCTCTTCATCTTTCCTTTTGCTGCCGGACAGGGGTTGGTCTGGTGGCTTGGGAGCACCCAAGAAGGCTGTGCTCAGAGCTTGCTGATGAGAGGTGCAGTGCAACAGAAGGCCAGTAGTGGGCAGCAGCCTACATGGGAAGAAGATGGAGATGAGGGTGACTGGAAAAAGGGGAGGGAAGACAGAGGGCTCGGAGGCGAGACTGGGAACTCTGCGCCCTAGAACCGGAGGCGCATTTGTCAGAATGATATCGGGGGAAAGAGATTCGACTTCTTAAGAGATCTTGGGCCAAACTTATTTGGGTCTCATTTCCTTCCCCTGATCAACGTGACTATGAGAGACCCTTAAATGCACGAAAAGATGATACTGTGCCTTTGCAGTAGGCGACCAAGCGTCAACCCTCTCCTCCTGGGGGCCTTTGTGTTCTCAGCTAGCAGTCCTTGGCCGGGGCAAACGGGCGGGGCCCGGCAATGCAAATGAAGGCGTTTGATTGGCTGCCACCAGCCAAAGGCCAGGTGCCGAGGTGAGCTGCGGCAAAGCGCGCGGCTGCCCGCAGGCCGACGGAGTGACCAATGGCCAGCGCAGCGCGGCCTCCTGCCTCTCACCCCGCCCCCTGACACGGGCGGAGGGCGGCGGGAGGCCCTCCTTTCTCCCCCCTTGCGCGCCTCGGCGTCTCCTCCTCCTCCCTCCCCTCTGCTCCCCTCCCCCGTCTGCTCCCTCCTCCCCGCCTCCCCTCCTCCTGCGCGCCCCGCTTTGTGTCCGTGGTCTCCCGCGCGGGACGGAGGGACTGGCCGGAGCCGGCGCCTTCTCTGCACTAGATCTGGACTCCGACTCGGCGCCAGGTGAGGTGGGGCGGACGTGGTCAGGCTCCCTTACTGTCCCCTAGCCTTTCTCTAAGGCTGCGTTCTCAGACTCTTTCCAACACTGTGCCTTTCTCCCCACTCAGCCCTCTCCCCTGAAAGCTTTTGCTCCTGTCCCCAGCCCCTTGTGATCTGGGTCACTTGCATCCTCCTTTCCCATTACCTCAGACCAGCAAGCTTTCCAGTTAGTTACCTCCCTACACTTCTGTCCTCCATCAAAAAAGTCTCAAGGCAAAGGTGGCAGGCCCTCTCTCCTTTGCCTCCGCGCTCCCGGGACCCAGAACGAGCTCCAGACATCGCTGCACCAGGCTGTTCCTTCCACTGGGTCCTATCTGGCCTTGATCTGTTTGCCATTACTTCCCACCCACAAATTGTGCCCTCTTTGAGTCACAGAGCCTGGGTTCTGGGCCTATCTACTTTCCTCCAGGCTGCTGTGCCTTCCGCAGCTGTTAGATGCCTTTCCCAGGAGAATCTGGGGACTTTTGCGCACCCCCCATGTCTCTACCTAACCTCGAGGATCACCCCTCTTGGCTTGGTTTTCTCCTGCCTCTTCTCTTTTGTTCTTCTTTCCTTTCCACTTCCCTTTGTAAGCTTGGCCTTTGTCCCTTAGGGCTGCTGCGCCAGTGCTCCTTGGACACCTAGGCCTTGTGGGTCAGTTGTTAAGGTGGAGGAAGGGACCTGCCCCTGGCAGGTGCTCTAATTCCGAGAGGAGCAGAAGAGAGGACTTGAAAGCACCACTTTTGTCCCTTTGGCCCCCTCCCCTGTGCTCCTTCTGGGTCCCCACAGCGCAGAGAGAAAGGAGAGAGGGCCTGCCACCCTTGGCTTGAGACTTGTTTGACAGAGGACACAAGTGCAAGGAGGTAACTAAAAGGAGAACTTGCTGGTCTGAGGTAATGGGAAAGCAGGATGCAAGCGGACACTTTGAGTCATTTCTCTCCATGTTTGGCGTTGGGATTACAGACAAGAAACACACCTTAGGGTTATTGTTTTTATGATTTCTGCTTGTGCTCTTTACTTATCAGTAGAGGGCTGTCAGATATTTACTAGCAACTGATATTTATCCATGGCATACCCATAACCAAGACAGTGGAGGTTCTGCAGAGGAAATGTGTGTGTGTGTGTGTGTGTGTGTGTGTGTGTGTGTGTGTGTAGGAGAATTTGGTGTTTCTTTCGGTTTTGCTCTGATGCTGGGCACATGAAAAGAATACTCTGAATTTGTCTGGTGGTGGTGTGTTGGAAACTGGGCTACATCATTCTAGAACTTTTGTTGGAGGAATGCAACTGGTTTGCATAAAAAGCTGTAAGTCGTCCAGGTTAAAGGGATTCCTGCCATATTTATCACTCTCTGAGCATAGTGCTGTGTCAGTCTTTCTACCCTCTGCTACATAAGGTTTGTCTTCTCTTAGGATTTAGTTGTTAAGATAGTGACACCCCAATTTTGTTTCTTTCTTTGGTTTACTAAATATTTTAGGGCCCCAACATGCAAAAAGCTTTTTGAAAATTTTTTTCAATGAATCCTTAGAGACTCATCTAGGGAGAATTCCACATTAGGTTCTCAATTTTCTTTGTTAAAGTGCTAGTTTTTAAAAAGAAGAACTCCGTGTTGATCATTTTATAACTATATTAAATATAGTTCTTTGGAGGATTGCATCATGGTGGCTATTTATAAAATGAATAAAACAAATATGTTTGTTTGCAAAAATGGCAGTGACTTTGCATGTTATTGGCCAATTAAGTGTTCATTAGTTGGATTTTTCACACAGAACATGAAAGCTGAACAGGATCATGTAGTCCACCCACTGACTGTGTGGACTGGAATAGCCAAGGGGAGTCAGGACACGACTTGCCTAAGGCCATGGAGGGAAAGTTGCTGAGGGTCAGCAAGACGCCGGGTCCTGAGGTCCGCCATTTGGGACGTAGCATGGTTCTACCAACTGAGAGACATAAGGCCTAATTTAGGGTAGAACAACAGGAAAAGAGATTGGAGAAATAACAGAAAGATAGATTAGGGAAAGAATGAGGGAAAGATGTGGCAGAGAAGGGACTATGCCCTGAGGCACCATTGTCAAGCCAGTGCACTTTTAGCTGGATAGCATGTAGCACAGGGCTTAAAACAGCTTTGACTACTGATAGAGACAGTTCAAGTAAGAGCATTTGCCACCCCTTTTAAACCACTTTTATGAGGCATTGTCATATACCGTACTATTCCCCCATTTAAGATTACAATTTAGTTGTACAAAGTTGTGCCTCTATCACTACATTTTTTTTTTGAGACAGGGTCACACTGTAGTTCAGGCTGGTTTCAAACTTGAGGCGATCTTCGTGGCTTAGCTCTCTGCATGCTGGGATGACAGGCATGCACCATCACACCTGGTTTATCATTATAATTTTAAACATTCTCTCCACTTTGTACATACAGAGGGTGCAAGCATTGGAAGGGTGACAGGTGAAGGCCAGTTACTTCTTCATGAATCTCCCCTGGACACTTAGGGGCAGGATGGCAACTTGGCGATGCTCTTGAGACTTCTTTTACATATCTGGTTCAACTGTGCATTAAACCCATCATGAAGTACGGTACCTTTCTAGTTGACCTTTGTATTGTGCCTAGCATATGCACTTTACATGTATTTTCGTGATGAAGCCTTGGAAAATATAAAAATAAAAAAGCGCTAAATGATAAGGTATCACACAGTGGAATATGTTGTTTAATAGTTTCACTCTTGATTGCTCTGAACTGTTGTGGACACAGCAATCCTACATATTAGCTAAAAATAGCATGATGTTCTTGGGCATGTACAATCCTGCTTAAAATTCAAATTGAAAATTTAAACAACTGGCTTTTGGCAAGGACTTCCTTCCTATCTATTCTAAAATGAAAAATATTTTTCTATGACTTGTCCAGTTGATCCCCCAAGGGAAGGACAGGCTTGGTAGTAGAACATTTTGGTATCACCTACATTTCCTTCTTAATTGCTATTCGCCGGCTTGTGCTTATAAACTGAGCTAATATATTTCTGGAAAGCCCTTTTGTTTTTAAGAGTAGAACCTGATGTGCAAATCAGGAGATTAGCCAGAAATTTGTCACTATGGTAGCTAAATTGGAAACTGCTCCTTTTGGATCAGTCTTTTCAATTGGAATGTAAATCCAGACAAGGTGGGGGGGTCCACTGAGTGAGAGAGGAGAGTTTTCCCCATAAGTTATTTTAAGGTGATGATTAAGTGCACTTTCTCTATGGAAACTCCTTTGGGTAAGGTCTGGAAGAGTTCAGAATGAGTTTTGACAATACTTTGAAAGTATAAGAGGAATATTTTCTCCACAACATTTATGTGACCATCCCATCTCCCCCTGTCTGAGAATGAAGAATAGAAACATAACTTCTATGCTATCACCACGATCCCTCCAGAGCACATTGGCCAAAGCGTACCAAGGCAAAGAACACTTTGAAGCTCACCTATTGAAGGGCGTATGTTAGTATTTTTTAGAATGTTCTCAAGTTGGACAACTGTCACCACAGTTGGTTTTAGAATTTTCACCACCCTTTACCCTTTAGTTATCTCCACCCAACCTGTCCACCTTCCCATCCACTTCAGCCCCAGGCAAAGGCAACCACTAATCTACTCTGTTTCTACTGGTTTGCCTGTTTCAGGTTTGCCTATTTCAGCAGTAGCGAACCTACAGCACGCCTGCCACAGCAGGCTGTTTGTTTTTGAAAGCTCTAAAAGCTTCCCCAACTCTGGCCTATTGGAATATTTCATATATATAGAATCATACAGTGTGCATCTTTTGGGATTGACTTCTTTTACTTAATAGAGGTTTGAGCTGAGTGTAGTGACATATACCTGTAATCTCAGCATTTTGGAAGCTGAGGCAGGAAGATTATTTGCTGTTTGAGGCCAGCCTGGGTTACATAGTGAGTTCAACACCAACCTGAATAACATAGCGACTCTGTCATGACCCCTTCCTCTAAAAAATGATTGCTAGGCTCGCCTATGTTGTATGGGTATTCCTTTTACTT